AATACAACTATCACGTTCATCATGAATAACATCACATAATTATATGACCTTCATGTTCCCGTTCTCGTTATAGCCCAAGTACAGTACGGTACATTTGAAAAAAATGATACAAATAATACAACCATGGGCTCGCGCATATGGAGTACATCTGTCGTCCCTTGTTTAACCCCCATTGTTTATTATTGGCATTAATATATAAGCGCGGCAGACGACTCCTAGATCCTACTGCGCATGTGTTTTCTCTGCGAGTCACTCTCATTTTCCACCGGTGAAAACTAATTGCGCCCTCTTGTGACAAGGCAGTGCATCGATCACGCTCAACAAAACTTGCAGCCAATCACGGATTAGGGAAGGGTAGGACAATCCAATCACATTTCAGAAAGCGCGTTTTAAGAACGACTATTTGTAAGTTGTGCTATTTAAAATTAAAGGATCTTTGATTAAAAGTGTGTGTTCAGTTAAATATAGGAGAAAACTGGTTTAGAACTTAAACGATACAGACGTGTCCTATGTGTCTCTCTCTCTGCTGTCTTTTAATTAGATTAAACTAATCACCGCTCCATCTAGGGGATCGCCGGATTCATGCACTGTCGCCACGCTACCCAATGACAGACCGGTGCTGATTCCGTGGATATCACAAACCGCTCGGACGACAGAATGCAAAGATTATTTTTGACAAATGATGGTGTGATGGCATCATCAGCTGTCACGTGACAAGCAATTAAATGTTGATACAATCTATATAAAATCAATCATGGTTTCCCGCAACTTGCCGTTTGCGGCAAGTGCTAAAACAAATGTAAGTTAACTTTTTTTCTCGTGTACCGTTAAATCACATGACCCTTGCTTCCAGTCGAAACCGGACGAAACCGGAAGTGGCTTATTATTTGAAAGTGGTAATAGATATGAACTTGCTTCCAACGGTGTTAGTCTCTTGGCTGAAAGTATTCTTCAAATCATCTACCGATGACGTCATGCAATCTTTGAGCGCCCTCTAGCGACAGGTTGAAAATTTTCAAAAATGTATTTTGAAAAGATGTCTGTGGCGAAGTTTGTCGGAATCGCCTAAATATTGGTGTATATGATGACCTTGACCCACTTAAGACGTATGCGAAGTTTTAGGCGAATGACGTCATCAGACCGGAAGTTATAATAAAAAGACCCTTTTTCATTTGAAAATTCCTGAAAAATCAACCATGGCAGTTTTTATGTTAGTTTTTACTTTAATTGTCGATTTAAGGGTAGGTCTAAAACATTTCAAAGCTTCGAGGCAATAAGCGAACTCGGACATGCCCTGCGCACACTTAAAACTTCAGGTTGACAATACCTCTGCTTTAAAACATGCACAGAACGTCTATATGTACATACACGTACATGTACGTTACGCACATACATCGTATGTCAGTCAACCTACAGAGCACATGTTGTCGAGGTCAAATCCTGTCCACATCACAGTGATCGTTTTAGCCGATTTTCGGCTAACAGATTTTATGTTCATGCATGCGCATAGTCAGGGACGTATAATAAAAAATCATAATGCCGAAAAGCCCTATGTTACGTATTTAAAGGTGCAGTTTTTCTGCAGTGGAATTTTCCACAAGTCTTTTCATATACAACACTGATATCTTACTGAGCAGTTCTGAACTTCGGCCAAGAATTACTATGAGAAGGACAGAATAATCGTCTTTTTTTCGCGCTGTCATTTGATTCAAAATTTTCCCAAGAGTCAGAATATCAAGTAATATTTGATAAAAATATTTCAGTTCAAAGGCAAATCACATATTTAAAGGTGCAGTTTTTCTGCAGTGGGATTTTTTAACCTATTGACTTTGTACACGTGTTAGCCCAATGACTTTGTACACGTTTTCAAGCCACCATTTTTATAACTTGGCGATCTGGAATCGTCATCAATGTTAAGTTACAGGCAAGGAAGACCCTCATACAGAAATTATGCCAAGACTATGACGTCATGATGACGTCATCACCTAATTTCTTATTGATTTTTAAAAATTTACGTGCATATTATGCAGTCCTAAATCTGCACAACTGTCAGTCTGATTGGGTTGAAACTTAATATGTCACTAGACTGGGATGTGGTATAGGTAAAAAATGATGTGACGTCAGGATGATGTCATCTCGAGATTTTATATGAATATTTAAAGTTTTTGACCTTTTAGCCATATCTCTCGAACATAACATGCAAAATTCAAAATTCTTTTTGTATTAGGTCTGTTAGGTAATAGCTATTCGCACAAAATTTTGAAAAAAATGTGTGACGTCATCATGACGTCATAAAAATGCAATTTTTTACAACACATATAAGGGAAGGTCTGACTGTCATGAAACTTAGTGGGTAGGTAGATAATGGTACTAGTATGCAAAGTTTGAAGTGACGTGACAATGACGTCATCGTTTGGTTTTTATTATTGTTTAGATATTTATAATTTTATTCTGCTTCCACAAATTGCACACTTTCTTTCATCGGATAGACATTAAACTTGGTTCAAACCAAAACCACAATGACAAAATGTGCATTGAGAAGGGTTTTAACGATGACGTCATTGCAGAGCAAGTGACGTCATTTGATAAACTTATATTTTAGGAATTATTCTAAGCGTTTTGAACAACCTTTAACTGCATGAAGCACTCTGAAAAGTTACTGCAAAAGGACCAACAAAACATAAATATTTGTAAAATGCGAAAAAGCCCTGTGTTCTGTTTGCAAACAGACATACAGCTCTAGTTTTTTTTCTCTTTTATTTTTCAGACTTTTTTCTCATAGGATAACACGTGTTTTCGTTCTACAAGTCACTTTTGGCTTTTTTTCAAATCCGATCGACTTCAAACCTGGCACACACTTAGACCACCATCTGAAGATGTGTGCCGAAACTTTTCGTCATGCTGACGTCATCATGTGATTTATTATGGAATTTTGAATATTTAATTTTTCCCATAGACTTTGTACACAGAATTTTTTTTTTAAATGTCAATTTTCAAAGGGCATTTTCGACACTTTGCCAGTAATTCATTTACACCAATCTTTGTCCAAGCAATGACCCTAATTCAAACAACATTGTGTAATGATGACGTCATGATGACGTCATCTGGTGTTTATTTATAGGCAATTAAATTGTGACACTTTTAATATTTAAAAATGCATAAGAAATCAACCGTACGCGTCCGCAGCATTCTGTTGCCTGCAAGTGGTAGAGTAGGTTGAGGCCTTTATTTCATTCAGTGTGCGTAAAATCACGTGACCCTTGCTTCCGGTCGAAAAAGGCCCAAACCGGAAGTGGCTTATTATTTAAAAGTGGTAATAGATATGAACTTGCTTTTAACGGTGTTAGTCTCTTGGCTGATAGTTTTCTTCAAATCTTCTACCGATGACGTCATACAATCTTCGAGCGCCCTCTAGCGACAGGTTGAAAATTTTCAAAAATGTATTTTGAATAGATGTCTGTGGCGAAGTTTGTCGGAATCGCCTAAATATTGGTGTATATGATGACCTTGACCCACTTAAGACGTGTGCGAAGTTTAAGGTGTATGACGTCATCAGACCGGAAGTTATAATAAAAAGACCCTTTTTCCTTAGAAAATTCCTGAAAAATCAACCATGGCAGTTTTTATATTAGTTCTTACTTTAATTGTCTATTTAAGGGTAGGTCTAAAATATTTCAAAGCTTCGAGGCAATAAGCAAACTTGGACATGCCCTGCGCACGCTTAAAACTTCAGGTTGACAATAACTCTGCTTTAAAACATGCACAGTCCGCAATGTACATGTACAAGCACGTACGTTGTACATATCGTATGTCAGTCAGCCCGCGCGCAGCGCACGTGTTGCTGAGGTCAAATCCTGTCCACAGTGACCGTTTTAGCCGATTTCCGGCTGACTTTGACAGATTTCATGTTCATGCTTAGTCAGGGACGTAGCATAGACACTATTTGTATAGAATACGCATGTACATGTTCATTCGACCTGGATGAAACTCCTTTACTGCAGTCATTAATAAAACGGTCGAAACAGCTCAGTGTTTGTCCACAAACACATTTCTAGTTTTTACCTGTTTTTTTTTTTTTTTTTTGGCTTCAAATGTCGGCTGATGACTGCAAATGGTGCCCGACTAAACTTAGTGCAAATATATGGGAGTCCAGAGAGGCCACATAAATCTTATTCTTGATCATAACCCCATCTAAAAACACGTTAAAATTGTGCAGCAGCAGAATTCCAGTCAAACCAGTGAGTTTGGCGGTTTTAAAACATCATCTTGTATTGAAAAAAAACCTTTTTCATTTTGCCGACGCGCATGGCTACGGCGACGCGCGCTCATACCAGAAACCGGAGACTTTTTTTTTTGGCCTAAATGTGAACGAGTGACAAACCACTCTTTTTAGGAGCCGTGGGGAACAATAATCTTTGCGAGTGATTTCTTTCCAACCTTCTAGGGTGAGGCTTGCATCTGTTTAATTGTTTTTTCAATTTTTCTAAAAAGGTAATTAAGTTCCACTCTTTTTAACCCTAACCCCCTGTACGTGGCTGTCATGGACCAAATACCATAGAATATTACATGTGTTGTGCACACTGGAAAGAAATGCATACTACAGGTTCCATTAGTATTTTGTAGCTTTAGGGTAGGTTGTAGGGTTAAAGAGCAATATGGGGGACACCTTCGAATGATTTGTCACTCTTTTACATTGAGATACTCTGTGCATTCTGTCTACCGTTTTGACACACGACTCCTTGTTAGTTTTTGAATTTAGACTTCAAACTTAATCCGTGATGTATAAGCATCTCACCTCCGCCGTCAGAATTAGTTTTATATGAAGAGTTAGTGAAAGTATCCTTAATTTAATATGCTTGTTTTTTTTCTGCACTCGTGGTAAAAAATTGAGACGAACACTTCAAACGGTGGGAAACATTGATTTTGCATTTAGGGCACACAAAGAACGCTTAGATCATCCAACTATAGTTGTGACTGTTGATTTATTGTTTCTCAGCTGATGCTGTAAGCATCGTCTTTCTCAATTCTGGACCACGACACAACACAGTATGGGTGCAAAAAAACGGGCTTCTGTCAGGAAGGGGGACATTCAGGATGGAGCAGGTCCTAGCAGGCCAAAAAGAGCAACACCAGCAGGTATGTGTGGTTTCATGTCATTCTACTTTCGCCCGCCTATTTCATAAATCTTGTTCTGGCATCTGCATATTAAGTGAAGCTTCAGGGAAGTGGTAACTTTAGTTAAACCAGATAGCCCAACTGCAGAGAAAAAAGAACACGATGGCCAAAGGTCAGAGCTTCGGTTTCCATTTAGTCTGAGTTTATTCCACGGTAAACTGTAATGAAAAATAAACAATGGCAAAATTAAGTATGTCGTTCAAATCAAACTCTAAAATCATGAAAGTGACCTTAGTTAGAGCAGGTGTAGTCTAAATTGAAGGGAAAAGTCAGCTCCAAACGAAGGAACAACTTATAAACGAGTCTACAGTGGTTTTCTCAAAAACCTTAAAATAAGGGATGGCTCCTGGGTATGAGTGTACGGAGACCGTATGACAGAGCCGCGGGGCCCAGTTTCATAAAGCTGCTTAAGCAGAAAATTTGCTTAAGCACGAAAAAACATTGCTTAGTAAAATTAGGTTACCGGCCAAAACTCCATGTGATGTACATTGCTTGTGACTGGTATTTAGCTGTTGTTTACTTAGCATAACTATCGCATGGAGTTTTGGCCAGTAACCTGATTTTATTAAGCAAGACGTTTTTGTGCTTAAGCAAATTTTGTGCTTAAGCAGCTCTATGAAATTGGCCCCGGGGCTACATAAGCTAAATACAGGGATCGCTCCTACTCGAAAATTTGGCGTAAAAACGCCCGCGGGTTTAAATTTCTCAAACGAGGGTTTATAATCTACCCAGAAAACGATATAAAAATACTTTAAATAGAACTGGGATCTAAAAAATCCAAGTAGAACTACTTAAAAACCGTAAAACTAGGGCAGGCCGTTGGAGACCAAAGTTTAACGTTAAACCACAGGTCACTGAAGAAAATTCACAAAAAAACCCCAGTAATAACTTATAAATCAACTTACGTGACTGAGGGTCCTAGAGGGGGTGTCAAGGTAAGGAGCGGTGGGTTCGATAAGGACTGAGATTGATGGTTTGAACTATTAAATTGTGAATTGTTAACAAAAGTGGGTGACGAAAATGGCTTCTCCAAAAATGTGCTCTCCTCGCCTCGAGTCAGTGGCCAAGATCGAGTGCGCCCTCTCGTGTTGAGAAAAGGTAGGCGCCGGAGGCCGCTACAGATTTAAAGACCGTTTTTGGATTAAACGGCGTCGGATTTATGAGGCATCGCCGCATCGGACTTATGTATGCCGCCTCATAGCTCCGACGCCTCATAAGTTCAATGATTATAAGAATAATTGCACCAAGTATCACAACACACTGACTCAAACCATTTTGACGTTTTATCTGATTAGAATTTGGACTGCCTGGGTAGAAGGCCAAAGAAACAAAATAAACAACACAGAGTTTGTGGACAAACAACAGCTGTTTCGGCTGTGACATGTGATGAGGACATGACCACGCTACTTCTAATTCACAGATAACACATCCCGGTTTTATATATATATATGCATGTAAAACTTACTTTGCATATTTCTATCATTATGATTTGCAGAATCCTGTATAAAGGACAAAACTCTGTCCATAGTCGCTAGGAAACTTGGTCGTGAATGGGTAACACTGGCAGTTGAGGAGCTGGGCTTTACCATGACAGAGGTTGAGACTATCGAGGCAAATCATCCGAAGGATATCATAAGGCAAGGTCTCGATATGCTTACAAAATGGAAACATGCCCAGCCCACCGGTTTTGAACAGCAGATTAGCACATTGCGCACAGCATTGGAGAACATCAGAAGAGCAGATATTCTTCTCGGTAAATACATGTCTCTGTCCGAAATAGAATCCACGTATTTAGTAATAATTGCACAAATTGGTAAAATACACCGTTTGCTCTACTCATGAGTTGTGAAGAGTGGATCTGCCCATACCTAACCGCATCCGAACCTCCTTGCTGTCGTCTAGTGTGTGGTCGATCAACACTCTTTTTGTTCCAACCCAACTCCTGGCATAGACTTTGCACATGTTTTATTCTTGCCGGCACTTGTAATAGACATAAAACAGAATCATATCCCAATAAAAGTTAACATAGGCAAAGACCTTATACGTAGGACTTATGTAGAATAGTGATGTCATGCTTTTAAGCATCCTCTACCTCCTCAGCTGTCTTTCTCTTTCTCTTTGTCTTACTGTCCATACTGTCCATTCAATCTTTTCGTACTCTCCTCTCTCATTCCTCCATCCTATACCACTCCCTTCTCATTTCCAATGAACGTTTACACCTTTTCTCCCATTTATCGACCAACTTCGGGTGGTGGACAGGACCCGTGGGTCTTGGACGGCAACTGTCTTCGAGTGAAGCCCGATAGGCAGTCGTATAGATGACCTTGTGTCTCTGGCAGCTTCTGCAGCAGAATCAGCTCCAGAATCAGCTCCAAATTTACAAGCTCGCTTTCCCTTTGGATCCAACTGATGAAGCCGAGAGGAAGATACTAACGATTGGGCTATCTAGTATCCCCATAATATCAACTGCACAGGCTCTTTAAACTGAAGAGTACATTTCAGTCGGGCCTTAATCCAACCCAGAAAACAAGCACAGGAGACAGCAGTCACGAGCGATAAGTCCCTCTCGATTGGCGTAGATACGTGAACGTTACGGATTGTTCCGACAACGGGAGGGACCATCGTGTTCCACTGGTAAGTTGCCGCCCGCCTGAGCTTGGAAGTCCCGAGCCAGTCCGCCAGCGATTGTTTTCCCCCAAACGACATCCGCATGTGGTGTACGCTATGAGGTTTTGGACTTTACTTCTCTTGAAAACATGAGACAACAAATATAAGATTAGAAAAAAAATGAATTCGAAATAATGAAATTCGGACTTTATTTCCCAAAGACTCAGATTAAAAAAGAGATCTGGTAAAAATGGAGTTTCGAACCCACAACGCGGGGATCCCTCGCGGTACAAAATCACGACCCACGACCCCATCAACTGAGCTATGGAACTGCTCGACAGTTTCTGGGAATTCATCGTAATATATACCTGCGTACGTCACAAAAAATATGTAGAGGGCCCTCAACAGCCATGTAATGTGGATGTTGTTTGGGGAAAAATAATTCGCGACCCGCAACAGTCTGTCTGCTTCACCAGGTGCTTGGAGCTTCAAGGATTTACCCGGACAAGCAGACTGAATATCATGCACCTACGAACAACAATAAACACAAAGTACTAAAATATCCAACAATGAAAATGACAGGCTGGAATGTCAGCACTATGTGCCCTGGCATGAACGACGATAATTTGTCAATATTAGCGATGACAGAAAAACCGCTGTCATGGATAAAGAGCTGGACAAACCCAACATAGATATTGCTGCACTGTCTGAAACCACATTAGCAGAGAGCATAATTATCCCTGAGGTAAGAACACTATTCTTTCTTCTGCTTTGGGAAAAAAAAACAGGAAGAACGAAGAGAACATGACGTCGGGCTTGCCATTAATATGAACAGGTTGTTGCATGCCTCAACTTTGCCCTCGCACTGCTACGCATGAGAGGCTCGCCTCGTTGGGACTTGCTACCTCAATGGCTTCACTACAAGTATCTCAGCCTCTACGCACCTACGCTTTCCTCCTCAGCTGAGGAAAAGGACAAGTTCTATTATGCACTTCACTGCCTTCTTCAAAACCTCCTTTTTTTACCTGGTGACCGTTATCCCAGGGTAGGCACTGACTATGCTGCCTGGCCAGAGTGTCTTGCTCCCACGGAGTGGTCAATCTAAACAAAAACGGACAGAGGCTTTTGGAGCTTCGCAACGCAAACAGCCTCTGCTCACCAACTCCTCCTTGTACACAGAGCTACAATATAAGGTGTCTTGGAGGCATCATAGATCGCTACATTTGCATCAGCTTGACTTTGTTTTGACCAGAAGTAAGGATCTTCACAGCTTTTTGATTACTCGTACCTATCACAGTGCTGACTGCGACACGGACTACTCACTGGTCTGTTGCAGAATCAAACTGCAACCAAAGAAACAACACTTTATTAAACAGACGAAACCTCATATCAACATCATACAGAATATTATATAGCTTTTGTTCACCTTACCAAGGCATTCGATGTATTCATCAGAGATGGGCTCTTCAAGTGCCTGGATGTATACTTACTTGGCGTATTTCTATCATTATGACAAGCGGCAGGTTGTATTATAAGTTCTGCTTTCCGGTTTCATTAGTCACTTATTATAAAGTCAGTAATTGGGAAAATATCAAAAATTTCAATTATTTGCGTCATATACCTACACATGTATAACTTACTTGGCTTATTTCTTTCATTATGATTTGCAGAATCCTGTATAAATGACAAAACTCTGTCCATAGTCGCTAAGAAACTTGGTCGTGAATGGGTAACACTGGCAGTTGAGGAGCTGGACTTTACCATGACAGAGGTTGAGACTATTGAGACAAATCACCCAAAGGATATCATAAGGCAAGGTCTCGATATGCTTACAAAATGGAAACATGCCCAGCCCACCGGTTTTGAACAGCAGATTAGCACATTGCGCACAGCATTGAAGAACATCGGAAGAGCAGATATTCTTCTCGGTAAATACATGTCTCTGTCCGAAATAGAATCCACGTATTTAGTAATAATTGCACAAATTGGTAAAATACACCCTTTGCTCTACTCATGAGTTGTGTTTCTAAAACCGGTTGCACGTCTTTGATTGTGTATTCTTATGTCAATGAACCGCAACAAATCATTCAATGCTTTTTTTTCCCTCTAAAAACAGCTTTTAAGAATGAAAAGCAACATTAGAATTAGTTTTTTAAATTCATTTGGTACATGCTATCCATGATTCAATCTGGTGTTATTTTGGGATTTCTTTACTGCTAAAGCTCTTCTTCAATACAGCATCACACAAGCTTGAAAGTTGTGTTCCCTGTGCTCTTTAAAATTTAGATACTTTTTGACTTTCAATTGAGAGCAACCCTCTGAAATTTTATTTAGTTTTGAACATAAACAGATCCGCCTTGCGAGCAAAATGGCTCCCGGTCGGGAACCAGCGGGATCGGAATATCATTGTTTGGTGACCAAAATTTCGAAATTGTAAATAATCAGTTAGTAGCTAAACATTTACCGATTTATTCAGTCAATGACTCATTCAGAAGTGAATATTCTTACCTTAATATGCTAGAAAAATTGCAATTTAGAAAAGCATGTCTTTTTTCGAGATGAAACTTGCTAATTGCAATGGAAATTAGCTTATACCAGCGCTGAATGGTTTTACAACACAAGAATAATAAGCAAAGGGCCTATTTGTATTTTTGTATGAGACCCTCATTTGCATGGGCGTAAAGTCTGGACGATGGGGAGAATATATCCCTGTGGAAAACACTGATTTGACTTCCATTAAAGATGTGACTGTCTCAGGAAAATGGACACTACAAAACGTAAAATTAAATATCAAGTGTAACTTTAAGTCTAGAAAAAAATCTGCTAAGATTCAAAGTCGATTTTTTAAAAATACCCAATATAATATCGAATTGCTCTTAATTCTGAGATGTTTCGTGGTCCATTGTTTTTTTTCCCCCAGCGTTTCCAACAGTGGCAATACAGACGAACGCAATATGGACGAAGACCGCTCGCGCTGCCGGTCACTGGGATGGAGCACGTCATCAAGTCTCGGCTGTCCTAGAATCATTTGACGGAGTGCTTGACCAAGTAAACAGTGGGTCTGTGATATTTGTTGTTCGCATCATGAGTCGGGAGGGTCTGGACAGACTCTGGAGGATGTACAACACTGGAGAACTCGCCAAGAAACTGACAGAGATTCTCAGCACGGATGAACGGACTATCCGGTCGACTATACAGGAAAGCAATTACAATCAGGCCTGCGGATTCTTTGATGAATTGGAAAAAACCCAGAGGCAAGGTACTGTAATTGAATAATACATGTACGTGTACATGTATGACATGACTGAGAAAAATGGAGGAAATTGTTTAACTCTTACTCTGGCTACCTCATTTTTCCATTCTTTTGCGATTCGACTTAACTTGATCGAGTTTAGTAACCAGTGTTGTAGTCGAGTACTTTTTGCCGAGTACCGAGTACTGCCGAGTACATAGGTTGCCGAGTACGAGTACGAGTACTTGTGCTTCCAAGTAAAAGAACAGGTCTCCGAGTACGATTTCTTGAACGTCCGAGTACGAGTACTTGTACTTAAACTCACGAGTACGAGTACGAGTACTTGTATTCTGAGTGCGAGTACGAGTATGAGTACTTTATTTCCGAATACGGCACCGGGTACATTGTGCATAATTGAAGCTTAAATGTATGTGTTCTGTATCAATTGTGATACAAACTAGGGTTCGTCTTTCAATTATTTGAAATTAATTTGTTTTTAAATCGGCAACAGCAGCCTCAAATCAATGTAAGTAAATGTATTTTCCAAGGAAATGGCAGCTGAGATACAGACAAAGCTTAGGTCAACTGTCATTTAATAAAATTAATCTACAATCTTGTGCATTTAATTTTTATTTTTATTATCCATGTATTTTTGTGTCCTTGGATTCCTTAGACAAAAAACAGAACCACAAGTACAACAAGCATTCAAATGGCTGAGAAAAGATTTCTCTATCTCTGCTTAGTTTCAACCACTGTTCTTAGTGTTTTTACAAAAGCAGGGTGTTTCTTCCGCATATGTGACCCGCTCTGCAAAAATGAGTCTGTTGTGGCAAAACTGACATTTTGAGTTAACTACATTAATAAAATGGGAATGAAATAATCTTTCATTTGGTATATCAAGGACCTCTCTAGGACGTTTGGTTGCACTGTTGTGCTTGTTTCATTCTGTAAAGTTTTTGCAAAGCTAGAAGTGTCTCAATGGAGAAAAAAGGCTTTGAAAAATGACAAATACACTGTAACTAACCAAGAAAAGCACCAAAGATTCATAATTTTGTTTCTTTTTCTTACAATATTTACATTTCTGTTTAAGATATTTGAACTAAAACTATCAAGCAACCAAAATAAAACAAAAACAAAAAATCCAAATTTTGAGCAATTTTTACTGTTTCCATTTCAAAATGGCAAAAGCTTGAATTCAAATTATGCGACATCAGACTCATTTTTGCAGAGCGGGTCACATATGCTTGATAAAGTTCCGCAGTATGCTTGAGGAAGTTCGAAGATGAAGTTCGAAGATGAAGTTCGAAGTTGAAGTTCGAAGTTGTCCCATATGTTTCTGATATGCGAACAGCACAAAACATGCACGCTGCACTGTGGCGTTTCACGCCATTTTGGACAAATTTCCTGTCATGATACATGCAATGGGGTTCTTTTTACGAACAATGTATACAATTTGGGTACAAAAAAGTGAAAAGTGCCACACAGGCAAGCGTAAGTGAACATCGACGGTACACGTACAAAGTACAAAGAACACATGCAACGTGCATACAAAAAAAACCCAGCAGATTCGCGTTTTCTTGGTGTCTACGCATTTAGTGTGCTTCCCATTCCTAGACCTCTGTTTGGCCGCCATAACCAGGCTAGCTAGGGGCCATTTTCCTAACGTCGACTTTGGCTGTGTCTCTTTCTCCATTCATGCAGATCGGCAATGGGGCTAGACCCGTATCATATGATCGAAACCGGGGTTCAGAAAACAGCTTTTCTCCAATCACCCAAGTTAATCGTACAACCATTTTGTGGAACACCTCGGCGTACAGTGTGTACAATGATTGGCCATTGTGCCCGCATACGGCAAATGGGTCATTGTGCGTAATTTGCCCAGGCCCGGTCAGACCTATATACAGACCCAGTCACGGCTAGCTGTCAATTGTGTTTGTCCGGACGTGCGTAGAGTAGAGAAAATTTCGATTTCTCCGCAATCGACCATTTAAAACTGAAAGTATAGATAAAATAAGGCCCTGTTACTGTTAGTCCAGAAAAAAATCTGCCAAGATTCTTAGCAGGAGTTTTTTTTTTTTTATTTCACTTGTACATTAAATTACTCTTAATTCTGAGGTGTCACGTGGTCTTTCGTTTTGCAGAATATCCAACATTGCCAATAGAGACGGACGCATCATGGAATGGGACGGAGACCGCTGGGGCTACTGCTCATCCCAGGATGGACACGGCCGACTCATGTGATTGGGAGGGACAGGATTATACACGTCATCAAGTCTCAGCTGTCCTAGAATCATGTGACGGAGTGCTTGAACAAGGAAACCCTGGGTCTGAGACATTTGTTGTTCGTATCATGAGTCGGGAGGGTCTGGACAGACTCTGGAGGATGTACACCACTGGAGAACTCGCCAAGAAACTGACAGAGATTCTCAGCACGGATGAACGGACTATCCAGTCGACTATACCGGAAAGCAATTACAATCAGGCCTGCAGATTCTTTGATGATTTGGAAAAATTCCAGCGGAAAGGTGGCTGAATAATACATGTACATGTACACAAATTGTACATGTACGTGTGCGTGTAGATGACATGATTGTAGAAAATGGGGAAATTGCACTCTGGATGCCTCGAATTTTCTGTCATTGCCTTGAGATTCGACTGAAAGGGAGTTTCTTGTAATAACTAGTCTCAATGAAAAATATGCAGTGCAACCTGTCTTTGTCAATTTTTTTGGTTCAAACGTAACGTTTCTCTTGTCGGATATTATTTTTTTTACAGATGAAGAGGACTCAATCGGCATGATGGATGAAGAGCACAAAGAACTTGGTGAGAGCAGCCCAGCAGCGACGGCTTCTAGTAGCGATCCAGCTGAACACTCTGTAGAGAGATCGGCCGAAACAAATGAGAGATTGCATACGACCACAGGTAGATATTCGGTGGTATAATCTGTGCCAGCTGGGGGGGATCAAGGGTGACCAACATCCTAAATTAGCCCGGCCGACGGAATTCGAAAGGCAGGGAGGAGGGGGAGGGGGAGCTGGACACCCATTGGCAATATGAAGCCGCAAGTCATGACACAAAATGCAGTCCTACATCTGCAAAACGACACGCTCACAATACGTCAAGAGAGTGCCTTTAAAGCTTTTGTGGTATGCATGCTCCGTTTTGCATTTCTATTTAATGCCTCTGGAATGTTGGAAAATTTGGAAATATACCTAAAATCGGCATTTCTTGTTTCTCGCCACAAAGGTCGCAGGAACGTGTTATCCAATGGCGCATCCCTAGTTCAAGAAATGGGGGAAGGGGGTGTTTATATCCTTCCAACCCACGCACCGGTGATTTACGCTCTTGTTGGTATTCATCAATGGGTAGATGGTGACACCAAGCAGTTTATAATGCCAAAGCCAGAATTGATTAAGGATGGCGGTGAGACGGAGACAAAATACCCGAATAATGTTTTCCCTCGAGACTGCTTTGGAGGCTGATATAATATGTAGGCCTACATATAATATTTTTTTTTCAGATGGAGAGGATTCGAGCAGCATGATGGAAGTAGAGCATAAACAACTTAGAAAAAGCAGCCCAGCAACGACGAGTTATAGTAGTGATCCAGCTGAACACTCTGAAGAGAGATGGACAAAAAGAGAGGAGATATTGCATACGATCACAGGTAGATATTCAGTGTTTAATTTGTGCCGGTGATTAAGAGGGATTTCCTTCACCCTAAAATTGCCCCGGCCGTCCAAATTCGAAAAGCGAGGTTGGAGGGAGGGGGGAGGCTTGAAACCACATTGCACGATGGGGGAGTTAATTCATGACTCACTTTTAGTACAAATTTGCGTGCTTACTATACATCCTGATGATGTATTTAGAGCTTTTGCGTTGTTCGTTCTCCAGTTTTCATTTCTATTTGTTTGAATTTATATAGACTTTTAGAAAATTAGTAATTAACCTTAAAATTGTATTTTTTTTCTCGCTACAAACATGGGGGGTGGGGGTGGGGCGGTGTGCTCCAATGGCTCATCGTCCGGTCAAAAAATGAGATGGAGGGAGGTATATCGCCCACCCCCGGGATTTACGCACTTGTAGAGATGTATAAATGGTCAAATGGGTAGATAGTGACACCAAGAAGATTATAATGCCCAAGGCCAAAAAAAAAAGTCTCCGGTTTCTGGTATGCGCGCGTCGCCGCACCACTTTTTGGGCAAGCTCCATACCAGAAACCGGAGACTTTTTTTGGCCTAAGCTTACATTGGTTTAGGTTGGCGATGAGACACAGAAAAAATATCCGAAGTAGTGATTGCCCTTGGTAAAATGCAGCATACCAGGGTAATTACTTTTTGTCCTTTTTTACCACAGATGAAGAGGACTCAAGTAGCATGATGGAGGTAGAACACAAACAACTAGGAGAAAGCAGTACATCAACGACTGCTTCTAGTAGCGATCCAGATGAGCTCGCTGAAGAGAGATTGACCGAAAAAATGAAGAGATTGCATACGACCACAGGTAGATATTCAGTGGCATCAATCTGTGCCCCGGGGGGCGGGAGGGGGGGGTGATGGTGGATGACCAAAATCCTGAAACTGCCCGGCCGTCGAAATACGAAAAGCTGGGGGAGGAGGAGGAGGAGGGGGGGGGGGGGGAGGGAGCTTGACACCACATGGCACTATGAGGGCGCTGTTCACGATACAAATGTACATATTGGCGTAGCGGTAATTTCCTCCGACCCGGGTTTCATTTCTACTTGGGCCCAGCAAGCCTCTGTACTGATGACGTTACACTTTCTTTACACGTGCGTTTTTCTATGGGAGCCTGGTGGGGACGACAGATTTGTAGCCTAATAGAAAAGCGCACAAGTAAAAAAAGTGTGACGTCATCAGTACAGAGGCTTATTGGATCGGGTTTTATTATTATTATTATTATTATTTATTCGACCAAAATTACAAACACAGAGATGGGCCAGGGGCAGCAAAAGTAAAAATACTGTGGTCCGTGGACGTATTGCCCCACATCAAAGTGCTTAAAAATCATATATAGAAACATAAATAGAAAATTAATATAAACCATACACAAATATATATATAGAAAAATTAATATGAAACATACACAATGTTTAAAAGACGAAATTCGCACAAAATGATTACAAACAGATATAAAAAAAAAATAAAAAAATACAACTCTGTATAAAAAATGGAAGTAAAATCACGACTGAACAGCCATTGGATAAGAAAAAAAATTAAAAGTTGATAAAAAATAAATATAAAAAAACACCCACCTAACAGTCATTGGATAAGAAAAACCCCAGTCCCAATCAGAGAAAAAAAAACAAGAACTACAGAAGAGACAATTGAGGAGAAGTATAGATATAACCCAAACCACACTACAGTCCCAAGCAAAAGACTCAGTAGCATTAAAAAAAAAAGATTACAAATGGATAAAAAAAAATTAAATATAACAAAAGAATTTGTTAAAAAAAACAAACAAAATAAAAATCAATGAAGAATATTCCATAAAAAGGAGACAACTTGAGGTCTTACCCATGCGAGTTTAAAAAAGCAATACAAAAAATGTCGAAGATAAAACAGGTTTAACACTAGGGCACATGCAGATTCCTTAAGACTGCGGAGCCAGGTATGCAAGGAAACAGTTAAAAAATCTATTCGAAGCAGTTTAGGAAGTTCATCCCAAAGTACGAGTATTCCAACACTGCTGGTGCTGCTTTGGAGATCTGCTTGAGGCCTGAAATAATAAAAAATTGGCCTTTAATAAGAGTGACTTTAAAGTCGGTCAAGAGAGGTATAAGTTTTCTCGGTCAATTTCGACAAATGAGCAGCCAATTTAACCACTACGCTGTTCTATTTCGCGCGAAATCAAATGCTACTGAAAAGGGTCATTCGATTTCGTTTTATGACCAGTCAAATGTACTGTTGCGTCATTCGATTTAACAAAATAATCATGCAATTTAACAATTCAACAAAGCAGCATTCAAATTCGCAGGAGCTTTTTGAGACGTGTGTTTAGTCATTCAAATTCATTTTTGGGCAGTCATTTCTGGAATTTGTGCAATCTAAAAAACGCTTTGTTAAATTTTTGTTTCCTTAAGAATGTTGAAGGCATAAATACGGTTCACTTTTTGGCACTTGAGTCACTTTGCCGATGTACTTCGAAGACGAGCTTTCGCTACAGTTTTACACGCATATTTCTAGAAATAGCTGCTCGTGGTCGCTACGCTAGAGTGGCCCAGGTAGATCGAGAAAGGTTGATTGAGGCCTTCGAGGGAAACGAGCAAGACTACCTTCAGCTTGCGGTCAATTTGAATATCAACAAGTCCACAGCCAGATCAATTGTTGCAACATGTTTGAGGACTGGAAGGCGAGAGACGCTGGCAAGAGGAGGAGCAACCCACAGCAAGATGGATGATGACATGCGAAACCATCTGCAAGGCATCCTTGACGCTAATCCCGTATTGACACTTCAACAAATGAAGGCTAGTTTGAGTGAGCATCTGCCAGAGAAGCCCCAGGTTTCTACTGCCACCATAGCCAGGGCCTTGGATGGGATGATGATTACACTGAAACTAGTGGAGGACGTCCCTGATGCAAGAAATTCCCCTGAAGTTCTTGATCAACGCGTCCAGTATGGTGAGTGGTTCCTGCAGCATGGTGTTCTGGCGCATCTAGTCTTCATTGACGAGACAGGTTATAACGTCTGGACTCGACGCTCCCAGGGTAGAGCTCCACGAGGGATCGCTGCAAGACGAGTCGTCGACAGACAACGAGGGAGAAATTGCAATGTCACCTTCGCTGTTTCTAGTGAAGTAGGCTTGGTGCACCACCGAATCGCATTCGAGAGAGATTCGAGGAGTTTCTTGCGGACACAATTCAAGAGTGTGATGCAGTTTTCCGGGACGACGAACCCATTTACCTCATATATATGTACGACAATGCGAGGCCTCACGTGCGAGCCCAACTCCCTGAAGGTGCCAACCCAATGATCCAGCTGAAGCGCCTCCCTCCCTACTCCCCATTCCTGAACAGCACGGAGATGGCACACTCTGCATTCAAGGCTGCAGTTAAACGCATCCTTGGGTTACCTGAGTGGCAACAACGTGTCGGAGACAGACAGGCTGCCCAGCAAGCAGGAATGAACATGCAGCAGTGGAGGTGCGATCTCCTTCAACAAGCAGCCATCCAGAGCGTTGATGTCATCACCCAAGTGAAGTGCATGCAGTGGTACAACCATACCCAAACATATATGCCAAGATGTCTGGCACGCCAACAGATTGATGGTTGAGGAAGAAACAACATAAACAATAAAAAACCAGGAAAAACATAAAGAAACACCCCATTCAAACACAATACAAAATTAGGTCTTGGTCAGTTAACCAATAAAGATCCCCCCCCCCAAAAAAAAATGAAGAAGAAAACAAAGAAGAAGAAAAAACCTCATTGGCCCCATGTAAAGTCTACTGGAAGCATTAATAAAGAAAACAAGGTTTGCCTGAATTAAAGTGACGATACGAAACAGTTGCCTAGTACAGTTTATCTGTTTATTCGTATTTCTTTAGTCGTACTTATTTGAATTCTCTTTAAGCGAAATTGATTGCCTCTTTACGAAAAAAAATTTAATCAGTAAAATCTCCAGTCCAACCAGCTTTGCTAAATTGAATGATGATTGTGTGTCACGAAAAAGAATGACGATATGCTAAATTGAACACAGTGCTAAAGGAATTTGAATGCCTAAAAACGAAATTGAATGGCCGAATTCTGAATTTGATACGCAGTAACAACTGGAGAGGCAAAATAGCTTCAATTCGAACGCACGAAAATTAAATTGGCTGCTCATTTGCCGAAGTTGACCGAGGAAACCTATATTAAACCATTGATATGACGTCACACTGTTGATGCAAGCAGTGTGTTCGATTACTTAATTCCCCCCTCCCCCCGCTTATTCGGGCAAGCAGTAAAGCGTTCGATTTACCTCTCATGTGACTTCTCGCACTTACTCGAGCCTAGCCCAAGTGACCGACTCGTCGAGCCGGTTCCTTAGGTAAGTATCCCATAAGGCCATGCAACGTCCGGCGGGCGCCTCAGGCCGTGTCTGAAACGGGCTTCCGCGGAGCATGCACGGAGCTACGGCTACGAATTATTGTCAGCGCGTCCCCGCGTACTCACTGGACATAATTGGAAGTAATCTAACGCTCTGAAGTATGGATTCATATCTACGAACCCTTGTATTGGACAGTGTGGCTCGTACCATACATTCAATGGGGGTGCTAATCAAATTCGACGATTAGTAACACTATATTACAGAATAGTGTACAAATACTCCTTAACCGAGCTCGCTCTGTCCGTATTTTGTGCACAGGCGGGCTTTTTTACCAGTATAATTTCTTTCGGTGTTGGAGCGGGGGGGGGGGGGTGTTAAAAATGTGTGTTTACAGTTAAATCCTGGAAATTGATCTCGGTAGGGGCCATACGTGCAGGTAGACAAATGTTGGTCTTTATTGTACCGAGTCTGTTTACTATAGAGCTTGCCTTAACGGCAGTTCTGCTATATTATTTAATGAAAACTACCGTAGGTTTTCCCGGCCTATTTCATCAAGTTTACATTCAATTTAACGTCTGGCTCATTCAATTTAGATTGAAATTGAAAGTTCACGCAGATCGTCATTCAACAATCAAAAAGAATCATTCAATTTCACTGTCATATTATCATTCGTCCCTATAGAAGATGCATTCAAATTAAAAGTAGCGTGCTGTTCTTTCAAATTCGTCTCAACCAGTAGTAAGGGGTTAATTTTCATGTATTGGCAAACATATTTCACATTTTTGTCAATCATATTTAAGACTTGCTGCATGTTAAATTTAGAATTATCTCGGCGCGAATCATTCCTGATGTCTTCAATCCATAGATACACACTTCTCCTTAATTAAAGGGTCCGTGCAATGCATTTTTCTTCGGAAGACGCTTTGCGCAAATTTCTCCTATAGGTTTCCCGGACAATTTTGGAAAATGTGCATTTGAATTTGCAAAACTTATTTCAATTTGGCGCTGATTTTGAGAATGACGGATATCTAGGTTTCATTTTCGCAATAACTAGCATTCGATTTTATTTTGCATCATTCAAATAAATAAATGGCCATTCGTTTCATGGAAAGGATTACAAATACGTGATTAAGCTTTCGGTTTGACGTATGCGTTGCCGGTTAATACGAATGTGCAATGCAACTCGCAGCGCATTTTTGCATTCACTTTAAATAAAGTGTACAAGCCTACACAAATCATGATACAACTTTGATTGATTCATTAATTAATCAACGTATTGTAGGCCTAATTAATCAGTAATGTGTTTTTTTCTTAAATACAAAAAGTACTATGTGAACTGTGACAGGCTATGTGATGCGATTGGGGCAAATGCTGAGCAAAAAAAGAACGATTTTCTTTACGTTTCTAGAGACTACACCACCTGGTTTAGCTCAATCATCATGACAAATTAAATATTCAATCATTCAATTAAACATTCCTCATAAGTTACTATTGTTATAACGGTAACACATATTTGAATTCTAAGCTTGAACAGGCGTACGTTAATATACACTGCGCGGGAAATCGGCTGCACATGTAGCGAAATAGATTGATCATAATAAATAAGGAAAACAGGATTGCAGATGTGCCTTCGATCTCGCACTAAAATGAAATGTCAATATTCTAAAATCAGGGCACATTTTGGGAAATCGTATTTTGTTTACGACTGAATACACTTTCATGGAAGTAGAATTATCATTTGTTAAAAAGAAACAGGGATTTTGAACGTTCATTCTATTTCGCACGAAAACGAATGCTTGTACAAATTCATGTACACATTTTCCAAAATTGTCCGGGAAAACCTATATATTCGTAAATATATGAAAACTATATATTTTACATTCTGTTTTGGTTAATCTTATCGCAAAGTGTACTTCTGTAAGCATTTAAAAGTTTCCATGCTTTTCCGTTCTACTGAGCGCGCTGTTGCTGTGGTGCATTTCAGGAAGACACTGTTCAGTGTAGGGGTTTTCTGTTCAAATTGTGAACCCAAAATGTGATATTTGAAACCATATTTGAAAAGGGTTGCTCATTGAAAAGGGTTGCCCATGTACCATCATAACAACGAAGCACCAAAGAAAAGGAATTTCTGACAGCAAAATAGCCACAATTGTAGCAACTTTTTGTGCTGAAATAACCGTGTAACATTAGTCTGCCCGGAATGACATCACAAATTTCCTCATGAAAATGGAACTTTGCATTAGCATAGAAACGGATAAGGCACCAAAAATCCCTTTAAACATGGAAAAACAAAACTTTAAAATAATGTTAAATACATCAGCGTAGCTACGGGGGGGGGGAGCGTTTCAATTAAGCAATCTTATTACAGAAAGTGATTGCCCATAAGCGGAAAAGAAACGAAAATCAAGTGCACCGACGTTCGCTAATTTGAAAGCGTCAACCATCAAAAGATTTCAAAAAGAAAGAAAGTATTTTATGCACCAAAACGAAATAGAATGCATGCCCCAAAACGAAACAGAACATTCAGAGTAAAATCTTGGATGCCTAAAAATTGAAATGGAATGCATCAAATGAAAAAGAAACCCCAATTTGATCACATGTGCAAAAGTTTTCTTCAAATTGAATGGCTGGTAATGAAAATGATTAGAAAAATAGTGAAACCTATATTAAGTTAACAATTGGATGACATACCATTTTTTTTTGGCGTCAAATTTATTGCAGCAAAACTGTGAGATCTGCAATTTGGCACCAAACAATCTGGTAGCTTGGGTTACCTTAGGCCCTGAACACTTTTTTGTCTGCTGGGCGTGGATTATCCATAATATTTCTTAGTAAGCCTATATGTATTTCTATCATTTTTTTTGCAGAACCATGTTTAGATGAAAAATCTCTGTTCAGGGTCGCTATGATGCTTGCTTGTGAATGGGTAACATTGGCAGTTGAGGAGCTGGACTTTACCATAACAGAGGTTGAGACTATCGAGACAAATCACCCAAAGGATACCATGAGGCAAGGTCTCGATATGCTTACAAAATGGAAACAGGCCCAGTCCACCAGTGTTGAACAGCAGATCACCAAGTTGTGTACAGCATTGAAGAGCATCGGAAGAGCAGACATTGCCGGATTTCTGCACGGTAAGTACACGTCTTGGCTCCTTGTATGCCTAATGCAAAGATGAATTAAAGAAAAACGCTATTTTCAGAAATTGAAAACATGTATTTAGTGACATTGCAAAAAATGGTTAAATCTAGGCCATTTGCTCTACTTATGAGTTCGTTTCTGAAAGTGGTTCGATGTCTATGATTATATTTTCTTATTTCAATGAAACGGAAAGAAATTATTAAACGAAACCCCTTCTTTTTCTCTTTAAAAAAGGCAACGAATTAGGACAGAAAAGCAGCAATCGGACTTTTTAAAAGCAATATTTTGTGTTTTATATTTTATAATTTGCTTGGTACATTTCTTGGACACCACTGATTCAGGTGTCATTGTTGTGATTTCTTTACTGCTAACGATCATATTAAGGCAGCGACACACAAACTTTAAAGTTGCGTACACCGTGCTCCTCCACAAGTGCAGTTGTTGTTCTTCTTAATACATTTCAACTACTATGTTTTCTTCCAGCCAAAACACTTTGTTTTCCCCCTTTTCCGACGTCCATAATCCTCCAAAAAAGGTTTTGTATTGAGCACAAACAGATCCGCTTTGCAAGCAGACTGCTCATGGTCTATACATTTCCGAAAGTGATTGTGTGGCGGCAACCAGCCTTCCCTACGAGTAAAGAATTATTGTCTGAGTAATAAGCCATAATTCAATAACTAAAAATTGACCGATTTTCTTTTTGGTCAATGTCTTGTTCAAAAGTAAATAATTTTTGTTTCCCTAAAAAAAGAGTAACTTAGAAAATCGACTACCAAGCAATCAGAGGAGGATTTATTCAGGTCTTGTATAATCCCGCACATATCTTATCGATGGGTCCTGATTTGCTGTGATTGCTGTGAAACAGCAATTTTAAGTTTCCCTTCTTAAAAACCGAAAGATCATACTGTTGTTTTAATGATTCTCATACTGCATTAAGTATATCACATGCCCAGGAGACCGCTAAACCAGGTATGTATTGGTGAATTTGGCGCCCTTAAAGTTCCCAAAACATCACAATGCTAAATCAAATGGTTCCTGCAATGTGGTGGCTTTCTAATTAACTTCGTGTTCTTTAATTCAACAATTACCAGGAGGTTTTGAGGATATTTGCTGGAGGTAGAGCTCAACCACTTTTACTTAACAGGATGCTTATAGTGTCCATGAAATAAGTTTTATACGGGTGCATATTTGTAGCAAATTTCCAATCTTCAGAAATGTTTGAAAACTATATAAGACATCGATTTTTGGTAAAACAAAATGCAAAGCTCACTGTTTTAAACATTTCAAATGTTTTATGCTTTTCCTGACGACTAAGGGCGCTGTTGCTTTGAAATCACTTTAGGAACACAGGTACCAAAACGTTCTTGGAATGAAATCCATTACATTGACCCTTTAATGTCTCTTGAAAGTTCAAAGTGCAAAGAAATGCAAAGAAGTTGTGGCTTTGCTGGATTTACACACTTAAAGTTCCTGGTCGATTTCGACCCGGAATCTGGATCAGGTTTGTTTTGACATAACACTTTTTCAGGTCAAATTGACACTTTATGGAGTCACTTTTATTGGCCATTTGAAAATTGTAAGTTTGACACGAAAAATTGTCGTTTTGACACGAAACATTGTCATTTTGACACACAGGTATGTCAGGTCGAATCTAACCCAAGTTTTTTTGAGAGTGCAGGAAGCTACCAGCAAAAACATTTTGGAGAAAGTATACATTTATAGCACATGCGTTGCGAGACCAATTTTTGAGGGGAAGGGGGGGGGGGGAGAACAAATTAGCAAGAATCCACCCCTCCTGGTAGGTAGCCATATTATTTCCGCAACAAAATCGAAAGTTAAATAGTCATTTCAAATCTATATATGTCAATGCAGTTTTATGTAGATGTGCGGTCAACAGTATAGTTTAGGTTCATACAAAGCTCCATCGAAACGTACAATTGAGTAATAATCATGGAATATATTGTCGCCTCATTTTTTTCCATATTGACACCTTCCCTTGACCAACAGGTCCTGATCATCTGAAGATTTGCCAGCAGCTGCTTTTTAGTTTCTACGAAGAACATACAGGCTTCATCCAAGAGATCGTAACGTCTTCCAGGTCACTGGCGTTGGGTGTTAATGAGTTCAATATTGATTTAAATCTCCTTCCGAGTGGGCACCAAACAACACGTGAAGACGTAAAAATGTCAGGGCAAACTAAGAGTTTGAATAGACCCAAAACAGTGCCACTGGACACATGGGAGGATATGTATGATGAAAAGAAGGTAGGGGAGAAAATGGTTCTTCTTTCAGGTGGGGCTGGATTCGGCAAATCGACTCTATGTGTGACGATAGCGAATACTTGGAAGAAACGTAAAGAGTCAAAAGTTGCCAAATTACGTAAAGGGTCAAAAGTTGCCAAATTACGTAAAGTGTCAAAAGTTGCCAAATTACGTAAAGGGTCAAACGTTGCCAAATTCGAGCTCCTGTTCTTGTTGAAGTTGAGTCAATTCAAGACAAGTTGTGTCATAGATGAAATTTTTGATCAGTTGTTGCAGCGCACTGACAAACTGACCAAGTCAGATGTGAAAAAGGTTATCAGTGACAACGAAGATAAGGTCGCATTCTTGATGGATGGGTTGGATGAAATACCGAGCCACATTTTACAATCTACCGAGGGTGTATATACAATCAATGATTTGTTGACAAACAAGGTATTGATCAAAAGCTGTGTGTTGGTGACAACACGGCCAGACATGGTCGACGATGTAATTCAGGGCTTCCAAGGCTATGCCAGGGTTGAAACGAAGGGCTTTACAGTCGATAACAGAGATAAGTTTATCAAAGCACACTTTCCAGACAATATCGCATCCGGAGAAGACTTAATTTCGTGGTTGAAATCACACCACTCTCTCCAGGAATTGTCACTGAGTCCAATCATTGCATGTATGCTATGTGTGCTTTGGCCGAACAGACCTGACCCATCATTACCATTGCCAGACAAGTTAACAACTGTGTACACTGAATTTGCAGAAGTTCTTGTTGAACGCCGCTTTAACTCACTCAGTGATGCTGATAAGCAGCAAGTAATGAACAAAATCTTGAAGGGATCGGGACAAGTTGCTATAGATGGGCTTCTAGATGGAGAAAGACTTCATTTCTCCCCAGAAGAGTTCAGTAGGGACGAATCTGTCTTGAAGGACGGTTGTCAAATGGGTATCTTGCAGAGAGAAACTGTCTCGAGCCGTGTGACGAGTGTTGAAGTTGTCACTTTTCTTCATAAGTCCCACCTAGAATACTGCGCGGCACACTACCTTATCAGTTTGCTAAGTAGTGATGAACAGAGCTTCCGTCGATATATTGATAAAATCATAGCACTCGGTGTTTCGAAAGTAGAATATGTGCTTCGATTTTGCTGCGGTTTATCAAAACAGGCTGCTGCCCTCATCCTGAGCCGTGTAGGACACGGTGACGACAATGTTGCACGATTGTGTTTGTTTGAGTCTGGTTCAAAAAGGCTAGCATCTAAACTATGGCCTCCAAGTAGAATTTCCTGCTACGGCCAACAGGAATTAGTAGCACTGCACTATTACCTTACAGAGTCTGGTATTAAACTAAACTGGACAACCTTCAGAATCGAGTGCAATTCATGTGCCGACCTGCGAGTTCTTGGAGATATTTTTCGATGTTGCAAAAGTGACATTCGGAGTATGACCATCGATTGTGTCCTGCGGGATCAATCTAATGAGATGTTGCGGCTACTTGTGGAAACACTTCAAGCAGCGGATAGGGCATTGCTAAACAAGAAATTGTTAGGTATTGAGGTTGGTATTCGTGATGGTGAAAATGTTGATGCTAAGCGTCTAGCAGAGTGCATTTCCCATTTACCAAATCAATTATGGACGGTCCATGTATCCTACATATCGCATGATGACACCTGCGCATTAGCGGATGCACTGAAAGGATGTAAGTTACACGGTTTACATGTATCTCACGTCAACATGCACAGTCACGTTGCTAGATTGGGTCCTCTTGTTACACCATCCTTGAGGACCTTGGAGTTAAGTTTCTGTGGACTGGATGATACTGACGTTGAGGGCGTTGTCAGCCTCCTCCCTAACGGGCATGGTTTGACCGGAATTTTTCTTGATAAAAATGCATTCAGTTTGAAGGCAGTGAAGACACTAGCAGGTCATTTTCGGGCTCTTTCTAACCTGACCTGTTTGGTATTTGGAGTCTTTGATGATGATGTCGAGCAAGTATTGGAGCAATATCTTCCACAACTGAAACACAATTCTGAAAAAAGTATGGAGGGTAATTTTGTCTGCAACTCATATCAGAAGGTACAACAGCTCAAACAAAATCTTGGCGGGGCTGATCTGTCCGAAGGGATATATATACACTACACCATGTCGGAGCGCTGGAGAGAAGAGCTAGAGCTGCTTGAGGAAACATTCGGATCATTAGACGAACGGCTCCTCGGTCAAATGGAGCTCATATTAACGGTTTTTGTTCTGAGTGTCGTTGATATCGAGTGGCTTGCAGGATGCATGAGCCATCGTTACACTCATGTTGAGAGGTTAAGCCTCCGGGTGTTTTCCCTATCACCATCATATGTCACTGGCCTACTAAATGCACTGACTGAGGGATGCAATTTAAGCAGACTTGAAGTATTTGGAACCAACATGCATGGTCATGTGAGGGATTTGGCTTCACTTGTTACTCCATCCTTGGAGCGTATGACATTAAAAGACTGTGGCCTTGATGATGATGACATGACAGGCTTGACTCGCATACTTTCTGCTGCGCAGTATTTGGTATCACTGGATGTTTCACGCAACAGTTTCAGTTTGAGAGCAGTGAAGGCTCTTACTATCTATCTCCAAGGTTTTCAATACCTGCACGATTTGGAGCTTGGGAACAACGATCTCGATTGCAATCTTGTAAAACGGGTTGTTAAAGAAAATCTTCCAAATGTCAAGATACCAGTGATGTAGTGCCTTGATGCTGGGCCCTGGCCTTAAGGCTGCCTTAAGGCTGGACCTTAGGGCCTTGGCCTTGGCCTCGAGGCTTGAGGGCAAAAGCCTTGGCCTTGGCCTTGGCCTTGAGGGATCAGTGCCTTGCAATTTTGAGTCAAGGCTCTTCAAGGCCCATAGATTTTTGCATTTTCCAGATAAATCTGTTTGAAATTTTGCTGTTACCATTTTAAACGTGTTACCATGTAGGAGGGAAACACCCTATAGACTTGTGTGCTGGGCACACTTCCACTTTTATAGCATCATATTTTGTTACCATTGTAGTAGATTTGCTGCAACAATATTCTGTACACTTGTGGGACTAATGAGATGATCACTTAAATTGTGTACAATTATGGAATAGATCTGGTTGGTTGTATATATCTTCCTGATAAGTGCTAAAGATTTGCATGTATCTATTTTAGATAATGCTAAAATTTCTGACCATGTTGGCCCAGCAAATTAAAATTTCCAAAATCAGTTTCTTGGATCCCCTTTTGTTACACTTGGGAGAATTGTGCGTCAATATAAAGGTAAATCGTTATTTTGTTTTAGTTAAACCATATTCAAGAAGACCTGAACTTATGCTTTAATAGATACAATGCAGTCATAAAACAGTGTGTGCGAGCATGTTGATTGCAATTAAGACAAGTTGTTCTTCTTAATGAGCGATTCGTGATGATGTGTCATGTGACTATAATTAGTTCTATATTAGTGGTCATGTTATAAAACAGGGCCTTGGCCTTGGCCTTAGCCTTGAGGGTTAAGCCTTGGCCTTGGCCTTGAGGCTTGAGGGTCAAAGCCTTGGCCTTGGCCTTGGCCTTGAGGGTCAAAGCCTTGGCCTTGGCTTTGGCCTTGAGGGTCAAAGCCTTTGCTCCAACACTGCAAGATTCTATGAAACAAAGATCTTGACAACAACTAGCTCAAATAAAAATCACTTTTAGTTGGTTAAATGTAAGCATCCAAACGTAACAAAATCAATATGATCACCGAATCAAATCATAAATTCGAACCAAAATAGTGATTTGTTTCTGCAGAAAAAAAGCTTTTTCTGTAAGAAAAAAACCAAGATCGAACTAGTCTACACATTATAATTACATTAATATCAGTGATAGGTATAATTACATTAATATCAGTGATAGGTATAATTACATTAATATCAGTGATTGGCACCATGAAGTAAACATTGTAAAAGTAAATATTTACTTATCGGGTTGAAGTCCAATGACCGGCTAAACACACGCAGTTTTTATCAATAGTTTCAGAGGAGCACACTTAAAATACAATTGTGCTTGTTTTTTGTATTGTTGATAAAACGGTGGTGTATCTCTCGTCTGATTGAAGCTGTTTTGGCTAGTTTATTTTGAAAGTGTTCCTTTGGGATGCAGTTTATCAGTTTTAACTATTCTGGTGTATAATAGAAATGTTTGATTTTGGACGATCTTGACACTTGTGCGGACTGTTGTGCTCCGTCCCGGCTTAATTGTCCATGGAATTGATTCCATTCATGGGATGATTGGGACGGGACCCAGTGTAGTGAGTTTGCGCGGGTGTCGAGACTGCGCTGGTTCGTCTGCACTTTGGTGCATTTTAGTCTTTAACTTTTCTTAAATGTTTTTTTGTTGTGGTGACAATTTTTAATAAACCTTTTATGAATGAATGAATGAATGAAAACTAACAGGCTTTCATACTTTGCAAAAAAAAATCTAAACATGTCTTTGACTGAACATATGAATAAGTCGGCACAAAAACTTTATGTACTATTTTTAGAGTGGAGAATGGGAAAGAAGTGGAACAAACAAGAGTAAGAATTAGAAAATGATTAATAATTTGAAATCAATAGGCAATGATAATTGCTTACATGAGGATTGATAAGGACGATGTTGAAAGCTAAAAGATGGGTAATGAACACGATGTGATGATATCACATGAATGTATTAATCGAGGTCTCTTTCATTGAAGGATTATAAAGTTTTGTGGCAAAGACAGAATGAGATTCACTAAAATTTGGTTGTAGAGTAATAATATAAAGGACCAACACAGATTGTTATTTTTATATTTTATATTTATAATTTTATATTTGGAAATAGTTAGATTTTAGAAAGCTTTCTTGTTTGATTTGTTGAAACACCAAGTGTCTTTTGGCAACACTGATCACATCTGAAGGGATGCTTGCGCAGTGCACAAAAGAACGTATCACGTGACTGCACATCCAATTTGTAAACATATATATTTTGGTCTATACATGTAGTTACTGATTCTAGATGGTTCATGTGAACCAGCTTGGAAGCAGACAATTTATCTGAAGATTATTCATCTTTGATGCCATCAACCCGTTCATGAATTTCTGTTACAGTTCATAAACCGATATGCCAGAAATCATTCAATTTTGTAGCAAATTTCCTTTTAAGAGTAAATGATCCACATGAATTCTACCAGACTGTGTTTAAACTATTAGATATGCAAGTGTGCCTAACAAATATAAATGGTTATATGTTCCTGTGTAACCTTGTTCAACTTCCAACGTTGATCTATTTTCGCTACAACTCTAGCTTTTGATGATGTGTATAATTTGGACATTTATATTCTTCTATAAATATATGCTTTTCTATTAATTTGCCAAAATATTCCCAACCGAAATAAAAGGACTGAAATTAAAGAAAAGAATTTCATTTCAATGTGTTTCATTGTAGCATTGTGTGTTTATTTGATACGGTGACAAACTGGCGCTCAGTGGTAGCTCAGTTCAAAAAGCACTAATATGCTATTTAAAAACTGTAATTTCAATGTTTTAACTACATTATAACTGTCATTGTGACATTGAAAATTTGATGTAGATCACTAATTTCATGTCAACAAGCGAAAGTCAACAAGAACCCATGATTAATGTAAAAGGGGCGGGGTTGAAGGGCCGTGACTCCACTGAATCCCAGATCATTAATCAGTTGATAACAGCTGGCAGCTAAGCTCTAAATTGAAACAACGAAGATGACCGGGGACAAATTCCAGGCTTCCTTCCATCACACAGTGGTCCGTCGGCAATTATGTTTTTACACGCCCAGCCAGCTTTCATTCTAATTGGTCTGGAGACGCCTGTGCTGGAAATAATAGAGACAACGTTTCTTTAATATGTTGGAACAACATCTAGTAGGGAGAATCCCAACTTGCACAGGGTTTGTAGTCAATACATTCTCCCTCGGGATGTAATAATGGGGATATCAAAACTCATTCCCAGTCGAATTATGAAATGATACTTATTGTATCGCTTCAGTTGTTGATAGAATATGCATGAACACCCGTCCAATACGATTGGATCTGGGTGGAAACACGTAGGCCTACCTTGTTTCGTCTTCAGATGTCACGAATGTACACGGTGCCCCCTCAAACAAAAACCCGAACCGTTAAAGCGCCCTCCTTTTCACATCTTGGTTTTAGTGCATACGTGCCATGTTTTTTTATATGTTTTATTAGGCATTATACTAACGATAATCACCATTCCCCACCCCCCCCCCTCCCCCGTTTTTTTTTTTTGTAAATTGCTCTTGATCTGTTATCGTGTGTTTCTTGTTTAATTGTTTTAATTTAAATCAGTGATGCAATTCGCTCTTATTGTCAACTTTGATTCACGTTTTTCTTAAGGTTTTATTATTTGGAGAGGGATCATATTCGGGATATGGAATGTGTTCTAAAAACAAAACAAGGAACGGGTTTGGATTCGCAGTTATCCCAACATGAAACCAAAACGGTCCAATCGAGATAAGTGTTTGTGGATAACATTAAAGCAATAATTCAAATGAATCAAAACAAAATCACATGCGAACAAAAGACTTTTAATAAACCATTTTGAATAGTTTGTACATCCTTTGAGGGTTCACTACAACGGTAACACTGCTTCTTGGAAACATTTCTTTGAAGACAATTTTGAACACGACAAAAGTCCCCAGTGAAATTAATTTTCAGGTGTCGTACAGCTCGTCCATTACACGCTGCAATAGTTACCATTGAGCTTCATCAGTTTCAGCGTAAGCACATTTGTTGTGCTCTGGTAGATCTGAATGGGTTCTGAATTGAATATTGTGTTCTCTACGCCTCCCCCGTCACAACACCACAGCACTGTATCTATGGTAACCGACTTGTTTACCTGTAAAAACATCGCTCTTATTGCTTTGCCTCGAGTGGGAGTCGTCATTCCAGCCACTGATTTGCTCTGTATCAAGCCTCGTCCTGGTTTCAGAGATACAGATATTTGGAATAGTCCTTAGCAACATCTTCAGTTCATCATGGCGTTTTGGTCCGAATTTATCGTCATCGTTGCTATCATTTCATCTATCAAAACTGTACTTGGCTCAGGGTTCTGTCCTTCTCGGCTCTCTGTCAAATGCCTCTCTCGGCTCATTGTGGAATGCTCTTGCCCGCCAGAGTGGCAACTGTGGGGGAACGAGTGTTATCGCATCACTCCTTTACCGCATACTAGGGATGACGCCAAGACAGCTTGCCAAGACATGGGAAGCAAGATGGCTGCTCCTCGCTCGCTGGAGGAAATGAACTTTATGGTGGAATTGGCGCAAAAGGTGGACAGTGCATACTCTGCCTGGATCGCCTGCAATGACAAAGAAATTGAAGGAACTTGGGAGTGTGACGGTCAGGAAGGTCGCAAGCCCTTCTTACTTTGGGATGATGGGCAACCAAATGATTTATTCAATCAAGATTGTGTGGCAATAAAGTCGACAAAAAACGGCAAAATGGATGACGAATACTGTTATCGCTCTCACTTGGCGTTTTGTGTTCGTCGAGCTGCCTGCACTCACGGCCTAACCCAACTCCGTCACTGATGCCTCTCTACCGACACACACGGCCGCAGTCTCAACCCAACCTGCCTCCGCGACCGCAACATCCGGGGGTTCATCACCGAGAGCGTGGCCGTCCGTGGCTCAACCGACAAGGGGCCCAGATGTCGCTCTTTCAACAATAACATATCTGCAGAAGGGAATCAGCTGAATCCAGGACACATGTCAACATAGGGCACCGGCTAGTCATGGACATTGAAGTGTGTTGGAAAGGTAGTCTACCAACGTTATTTAGTTTAACACTTACATTTACTTACCCGGGTACAAACATTGTATACGGGAAGTTAGTGATGATGCAATTAATTCGCTTTTCCGGAAAATAAGAAAACGGGCGACCAAACTTTTGTTCGAGAAAGCAAGGTAATCAGTAATCGTTTTTATAGCAAATAAGATTTGATTTGAATTTAAAAACAAATTTTCTTTTGAATTGCTTTAGTCTGACTCGTTTTATTCAAATAGAAATGCACTTTAATTTGTAAGTTTCTGCGTCAGTCAAACCGCGTAATTACAACTATACAAACAATTCAATTTTAAATATTCTTAAATTCTTATGTTTTCGTAGATGCGACTATGATTGAATAGTTCTTGTATTTCCACGTCTGCTTGCAAATTCACATGAAATAACTCAAAAGTTTGTATTGGTTTGTATGTGTTAAAAAATCAAATGATAGATTCAGTCTTAACAGCAAAATATCAAAACTAATACTTAGTTGTCAGATCGATGTGATGTTACGTGAAATTAATTTTAAAACAAGGGGGGCCTGTCGAAGATTTTGGTAGTAGTTTATGAATAATATTGTAACGAAATGTGTCCAAAGATCAGCCAACAGCCGGAATTTTATTGAACATTTAATTATTTGAAACTGTTTAATCACTTAATTTTGGTTCCATGTCTGTTTCCATTGAAAAAAAGTGTGAAATACTTATGCTAGTAAACGTATGTTGAATTTCACACTTGGGAGGACAGTCAAACAATTTTTTTGGTTATGAATGACGTTACTTTAAACAAAATATATATACAAAAACAGCCAACAGCCGGTCATTTAACTACCGATGTCTATGAACCATTTAATCATTTTAATTAAATGGTTTTAGCAGCTAATTTTGGATCCAAGTAGGTTTCAATTTTAATTGGGAATAGAATCGTGAAGATATTTTGTGGTAGTTAATTAAAAATAAGTATTGAAGCTAATTGTAGCTTTGTTTTGCGGCTGTGCTTTCTACCTTTACAAAGCCCCATTTTTAGGGCGTGCCTAAAATGGTTAAACAAGTCAAAATAGTATCAAAATTCTGCGTCAGACAAAACTCGTCTTTTTTTACATTGACAACTCGTTTTCGTTAATCCATTCGACTTCAATGCCAAGACACTAGAATGGCGTACACGTATAGAGAACACATCTGATCATCTTCAAACTCTTGCTACCGAAGGACTAACGAATCATCCTGTACCTTTTCAAAGTTTTTAGCATTGTAGCAATCAATTCAGCGATCAATGCTCAATTTAGGTCAGGTTCCTGCCACTCTCGACTCACTGCCCAATACTCTTGCCCGCCAGAGTGGCAATTGTGGGGGAACGGGTGTTATCGCCTCACCCCTTCAACCGTACGCATACTTGGGTGACGACAAGACAGCTTAATTTTGCCAAAACATGGGAGGCAAGATGGCCGTTCCTCGCTCGTTTGAGGAAATACATTCCATGGAGGAATTAGTAAAAGATGGGCAGTAAATGCTCTGTCTGGATTGCTTGCAATGACACCGAAGTTGAAGGAACTTGGGAGTGTGATGGTCAGGAAGGAAGCGAGCCCTTTTTGGAATGGAATGATTGAGAACCAAATAATTCCGGCAATCAAGATTGTGCTCGGATGGTCTCAGATCACCATGACGGAATGGATGACAGTCAATGCAGTCAGTCACACAGGGCCTTTTGCGTTCGTCGAGCTGCTTGCACCCACGACCTAATCCAACTCCGTCACTAACTCCGCCTCTCTACCGACACTCACGACCGCATTCTCAACACAACCTGCCTCCTCGACCACAACATCCGGGAGTTTATCACAGAGGGCGTGGTCGCCTAAGGACATGTTCGCCTAAGTACTGGTTATTTCTGTCTCTACTCTGAATAGTATACATCGGCTAGTCATGAACATTGAAACCATCTTGGATATCAAGTGAATTGGACAGGAAACGAACTTGCATGCTCCATCTTAGATATATTTTTTACAAACCTAAACTATCTTAACACACAAATTTCACTTATAGTGACAATTTATTCGTTGTTTCCCCTCTTTAGACAAAAAAATATGGCGCTCGATATTTCTATTTAAAAAAAAACAAGGTAAGAAAAAAATCGTTCTCATAACAAAAGAGAAAGAAATTTGATCTAAAAGGGGAAATATAACTGATTGAAATGTTAAGATTAAATTTAAATTAAAACGAATAACTGTAAATATCTTGTGTAAACTGCATTTTCGAAACATTTGAAACAAGATTATATTTGAATATTCGTAATTTCGTAAATGTTTATTATTACTTGTGACTGTAAACGTTTTGTCTACGCGTCTGCTTGTAAATTTGCATGAAATTTCTAACACAATGTGTGAAAGAGTTTATAAAACCTGATCATGTAGGTGTAGTAGAGGTTTGTATCGATTAGTATACCTTTTGTGCTTTCATTGTAACTAAATTATAAGAACAAAGAACAACCTCTGAAGTACCTTCATTGAATAGGGTCTCTATGTGCATATATTGTTTGCCTTTACAAATTTGTATTCGGTTGCAGAAAAATAATACGTAGTTGTCAGATCGATGTAGTGCATTTTACAGGTATTGGCTATTTATGACAAACGTTACTTGTCAATCATTTGTCTCCGATGTTAATACTCACCGCATTTGCCGGAACACCTTTTTCATATTATAGTTTGAATTAATATTTTATGGTTGTTTAACATATTTCAATTCAAATTCAATTCAATTCAAATAATTTGTGCACAACAATTTCCTTAAAAATGCGTCACAGTGAAATTAATTTGCAGGTGTCGTCCAGCGCGTCGTTTACACGCTACATTAGTTACCCTTGAGCTTCATCAGTTTTCAGCGGAAGTACATTTGTTGTGCTCTGGTAACGTTGAATGGTGTCCGAGTTGAATATTGAGTTCTCTCCACTTCCCCTACTATGGTAACCGACTGTATGAAGTTGTTTACCATTAACAAAAATCGTTTCGTATTGCTTCGGCGCTGATTCACTCTGTATCAAGCACAGTCCTGGTTTCAGAGCTACAGATACTTTGAATAGTCCTGAGCGACATCTTTACTTCTCCGTTCATCATGGCGTTTTGGTCCGAATTTATCGTCATCGTCGCTGTCATTTCATCTATCAAGGCTGTATTTGGCTCAGGGCTCTGCCCATCTCGGCTCTCTGTCAAATGCCACTCTCGGCTCATTGTTGAATGCTCTTGCCCGCCAAAGTGGCAATTGTGGGGGAAAGCGTGTTATCAACTCTCCGAAACACCGGCTACTTGGGACGACAGCCAATCGGATTGCCAAGCCATGGGAGGCAAGATGGCCGCTCCTCGCTCGCAGGGGGAAATGACCTTCATGGTGGAATTGGCGCGAAATGTGGACTTAAAGTTCTATGCCTGGATTGCTTGCGATGACAAAGTCGTCGAAGGATCTTGGGATTGTGATGGTCAGGAAGGGAGCGAGCCCTTCTTGGCTTGGCATCAAGGAGAACCAAATAATTCGGGAGGCCAACAAGATTGCGCTCAAATAGGCCAGGGTGGAATGGATGACGTATCTTGTGATTTGTCAAGCAGGGCGTTTTGTGTACGTCAAGCTGCCTGCACCCACGGCCTAATCCAACTCCGTCACTAATGCCTCTCTACCGACACTCACGGCAGCAGTCTCACCCAACCTGCCTCCTCGATCACAACATCCGGGAGTTTATTACCAAGGGCGTGGTCGCCTGTGGCTCAGCCTGCGTAAAGGAGCCCGGATGTCGCTCCTTCAACATCGAATAACTGATAAAGGGAATACGATATATCAACCGACATCTAGTCATGAACATTGGAACAATTTTTGAAACGTAGTCTACAAACTTGATCTTAGCACTTATACATTTATTCAAGAACTATGTGACGATTAATTCGCTTTCCAGCTATTAGGAAAAATGGAGCGACGGAAATTTGTTCAAATACGCAATGTAAACCATATACAATAGAGATGAAAATTGAATTGAAATGGAAAACAAATGTATTGAAATGACTATGGTCTGACTCTTTATCTCAAACAGAAATGCAGTGTTTTAAATTATTCGATTTTATATCATTCAACACCGAATATCGATACCGAATATCGATATCGTTATGGAAACCATGTAATCTCAATTATTAAGACATCAATTCATTTTAAGTTCCCTTAATTTCGTAAATATAAATACATTACTTTCTTAGATGTGACTGTGAATGAAGTGTACGTTTTTCCTCATCTGCTTGTAAATTTGCACGAAATTTCTCAAGAGTTTTTATTGGTTGTATTTGTTAAACTTTAAAATGGTCGGTTCAGTCTTAGCAACAAAATATGAAAAATTTTGCTTAAGAGCCAGCCTAAGATCCGTAAATTGCTACATGAAGTGCAATTTAACTCTTCGGAGGCCAATCGAATGACAAACATTAAAGGAACAAACTTTTGATTGGATGACCGATGTTTACTGAACATGCAATCATTTTAAATGTATCTGAAACCTAATTTTAGTTTCAAGTCTGTTTCAATTTAAATTGAAAAATATTTATGATTGGAATCATATTTCGTGGTAGTTGAAAATAAGTATTGATTAGTTAATTGTATCTTTGCTTTAGCGGCACTACCTTATACATTTGTCATGCCCATGTTTTAGTGCATGCTTTCGAAGCTGAAACATGTCAAAATATGAGCAAGACGTGCCTGCCTTACCATTGATGCAATCACAAATGTAACAATTTGTCAATTCTGTCAATTAATCGATGTCATAGTTTTCTTTTATCATCAATTCTGAGACAGAGATCCGCTTCTGTTCCTGCTTGGTTTGATAGATTTTTAATTACACGAAAGGGAAAATGTCAGTCTATTTTTGGTAGCACAATCAACGATTTCGTAATATAATACTCGATTAAAGTGTTAGGACTTACATTGACAAAAAAAATAAACTGATATGAATTACCCGACTGTTTGTAGGTCAATGCCGCTACAAATGTCAGTCAGGCCTATATATAGTTTCCTACTGCTCCTGTGCTTTGATAAATGAGTGTACTTTAAAAGCAAATTAGATTTTTTCAGTTTATTGTACAAGTTCGAATTACATTTGGAAAAATTAAATTATGACATATCAATACGATTAATAACTGAGGGCGTGGTCGCCTGAGAACAGGATACATATGAAAAGACTGGTTATTCCTGTCTCCATTCTGGAGAGGGTATCTCGAAAACGTGTTCTACAAACTTAATCACAGCAATTTTGTGGAGATTGATTAGATTTTCCAGCACTAAAGAAAAAAAGCTACCGAGTTTTTTTTTTCTTCTAGGAAGCAAGGTAAGCCTTAATTGTCGTATTTATCAATGATAAGATATTTGAGATTAACTGGACATTTTAATTAATTGCCTTCAAAATGCTTAATTTTGTCATTTCGAATAAAAGTTTGAAATTCTAAGTTTCTCTGTCATTCAATACCGAATATCAATAGCTTTTCTTAAAATTTTGAAACCACGTAATCTCAACTTTTAAAAGACGACTTCACATAAAATTTTCTTGATTTCGAAGGTTAAAAAGACAAATTCACTTTGTATTTTCTTGATTTCGTATGTAAATAGTTTACTTTCATAGATGTGACGGTGAACGAATTCTAGTTTATACCTTATGCGTTAAGGTGGATTAGAGGGCAGAGGTTTTGTATCGCTTGAATTTGTGTGAGAAATTCTTTTGTGCTTTCATTGTACTAAATTGTAATAGCAAAGAACGCCCTCTGTAGTACATGAAATGCATAAGGTCTATATAGGTTACGTGTGTTAAACATTAAAATAATTGATCCAATTGTTAAAAGTAAAAAGATGCAAAACTGAGATCGGTGTAGTATTTGTACAAGATTTAAGATCAGGAAGGACAATTTGACTTTTTGGCTATTTGTTACAAACGTTATGTTTTCTGAACACCCTCTCTTGAATTTAATGTTTATTTGTCGATATTGTCACATATTTCATATTAATTGTTAACACATTTCGTGTTAATTCAGAATTTGTATTGAGGATATTAAAGATTAAGTCTTTTGAGCGCAAATGCTCTGTATAATCGCAATTAAATGTCCGAGTTTTAGCGCATGCATGACGTGTTTTAAACATGCATGCCCCGCTCCACAAGCAAGACTAATTGTTTTGTTCTAACGATTTTTCAAATTGGCTGTGTTTGATTTTGACGTAAAAACTACTTATTTCTCTCTTCGCGGTGCCTGCTTAATTATTGTTGAGCCGCAAATAAAATTAATTTTGTAAAGAAATAATCCAAACGGCGAAATAAACTAAACGTCGGTGCATTTTCTGTTCGATATCTCATTCGAACTTGAATAAAAGTTGGGGAAAAAATCTTTTTCGAGGTGAAACTCGAGATAGCCCCCAAAAATGCCTCTTTAAATTATTCAACAAGATGACGAGATGTGTTTTAAGATCGGGTAAATACAACTTTTATTTTTTGTAAATCTTATCTCGATTTGATTTTACGTGTTTCTTGTTTCTTTATTTGAAATCAGTTTGCTTAATGACTATTACGTTTTTAAGGTTATTTATTGCTGCTTTGTAGTCATTTCAGTTTTAATGTAATTATGACTGCCCATGTTGTTTTAAAAGTGATTTTACTTTTAAAAGCAAAAAAACTTTGCCTGACTTTTTGTTGGACAAGACTGAGTCAAAACCACATTTCTGAAAATTTAACAGCGTGAAATATCACTAACATCATATTGAGTTTTTTTAGATTTTAAGTTTTATACAACCATTTTAAGTTTTATACAACCATGGATTTACTCTGTTGCCTCAAATCTATTAGTTGTTTAAGAACATAAACTGGTTGGCCAGGGGAACTGTCAGGTGACTGCGGATATCTTCTCTGCGCGGGTTAGAAAAAAATAGGTGTGATGGTTTTTGCCTTTGAAAAAAGATTATGTTCAGATCGAAACATAAGGCCATCTAATTTTGTTGATTACAATGCACCATAAAAAAATGAAATAAAACAAAATATCAATAAATTATTTCGCATTTCAATTTTCCTTGTTCAGCTTGGGAAGTTTTAAGGTAAATGGAATGCAGGGGGTTAGATGTACCGGCTGAGGACACATCCGGAACACATTATCTCTTTAAAATATCCATAGGCCAGTCAAAAATAGAGGCAAATAGACCCCCATAGACACCAATAACAATTCGGCCCAGGTCCAAACAAGGGGGAACTACTCAGAACTCTTACTGGGGATCAAGACAAGCAGCAAATCATGTCACAGCCTGTTTTACTAGCCGCTCAATTTTGGGGGTTCACAGATGTCTTTATGGTGATTTTTCCGTTCAAAAGTGATTACCTCTAAAAGCAGTCATGAAGCCCATCCTTTGCTTGATTCCTACACTCAATTGAAATATAGAGCAACTTTAGGGTCCAATTTAATCCCAAATGCCACAGAGATACAAATTGAGAGCTACGACCCTTCATTTATGTCATTAAAACATTATGTCATTTTTATTTTATTTTTTATTTTGAAGATTAATTTAAGTCTCAAAATTGAAGTGGAGTTAGTACATTTGTAAATTTGTGACAGGAGGAGTGAAGTGTAGGCACGAAAGACGGCAAGATGGGGAGGGCGATGTAACGGCATGACGTGACGGCCGGTCGGCATGACGTGTCGCCCGCCTTTCGCAATCCCTGGCCTATACCAAGGTTGTATATATGGTTCGCTCATAACAAAGTGTTTTCATCGTTTCAAAATGACTCAACTACAACCGAAAGCATATTTTTTGATTAGTTCTTATGATCCAAATTTTGATTTAAAAAAATGCCAACTCTTTCCCTAACATTGTCCAGAGTCTAT